TTATCACTTCAAGCATTTCCATGGTTTCTCTTTCCTCTTCCCGTTCATTTCATGACATCCGAAGAAATCACGACCAAGTTACTAACTCATACCCTGACACATCCCTTATGGGGACTCTGGAAACATTAGTTCCTGTCTGCACTTCCTCCCTCAGCCCATTGCTTGGGTGCCCTGGGCCCAGGCAGGGACGGGAGGGGCATATATTTGAGATTTGCCCACCAGGTCACAAGTTGACAGCCAACCAGGTACTTCTTTTTTTTTTTTTTTTTTTTTAAGATTTCATTTATTTATTCATGAGAGGCACAGAGAGAGAGGCAGAGACACAGGCAGAGGGAGAAGCAGGCTCCCTATGGGGAGCCTGACGTGGGATTCAATGCCAGGACCCCAGGATCATGACCTGAGCCAAAGGCAGACACTCAACCACTGCCACCACCCCCTGACCATGTACTTCTAACAACATACCCTGAGTGTGTATATGGAACCCAGTATGACTCATTTTCTTGTGTTTCACTGTATAACAAGGAAAACTTTTGTGATCTCTTTAATAATGACTAAGTTGCTTTAATCCATTTACTTCTTTATTATAAGATCGCTATTTCCTACTTTTGCCTTAAAACTATTGTGGGGCTTAAGTTTTCCAGTCTATACAAGAGGAATAATAACAGCAGAGTTGTTCTTCAGGGATATTTTTGTGAGGATGAAATGCAATAATGTATATAAAATGCTCAGTACAGTGGCTACTGTGTAGCAGTCAGTAAACCTGAGGTGTTATTATTAATAACATAATAATCTGGAGGAGGAAAGGGTGGCTCCCAGAACCGACACACTGGTTTTTGTGTTCAGACTAATCAGACCAAGAAATGAGACCTAAATTTACTAAACCCCTGCCTAACTTCGAACAAAATCTGTAATGTCTTTAGATTTCAGATTTCTCAGATGTACAAGACAAGGATAGATAACCTCAGGGTTTTTTAAAGATTTTTATTTATTTATTCATAAGAGTCACGGAGAAAGAGGCAGAGACATAGGCAGAAGGAGAAGCCGGCTCCCTGCAGGTAGCCTGATGCAGGACTCCATCCCAGGACCCCAGGGATCACGCCCTGGGCCGAAGGCAGATGCTCAACCACTGAGTCACCCTGGTGTCCCAGATAACCTCAGTTTTAAAACTTATGTGGTTCTACTTAGGTGATCTATATTCTTCTCTCCAATCTTCATTTTATGAAGCTTATCAAGAGGTTTTATCTTTGGATCAACTAAACAAGTGTGACTGATATTTACTGCCAGATGTGACCTTTTGTTAGCACATCGTAGATCCCAACATTAATATCACTTTCTATAAATATAGGTTTCGGGTGAGGAAATGTTCTATCTCAAGAGGTTTAGCTGTTGAGGATCTTTCTCTTTTTAGACTCTCGGTCCGTGGACTATTACTCACTGTTGGCATTCTTCCTCCGTCTTACTTCTGTTACCTTCTTTCATGATCACGGATGTTGAAAGCCACCTACAGGTTCTGAGTTCCCCACTCCTCCCTCCCTAGTGGTCGGCATTGCGTTTCCCTTGTGCTTTGCTGCTTCCTCTACCTTTTCAAATTTAAAAATAGAAAATAAGAAACAAACCCACAGCCTTTCACATTGGCTGAACTCTGTTATTCATCTACCAGATTTTCTGGTGAATTCCACAGTATCACATATACAGTCAGATTTCTGCCATCAGGGAAAAAAAAATCTGCCATGAGTTCAGGATAAACCCTGTAAGAATGGACAAAGAGAGACCCTAATTTTGACTGTCAAACACACAGTAAGAAATTACCAGGAGCCACCCACAGAAGGAGGCTTTAGAAGGTGAATTCAAGAGACAGAATGCTCTTAGCTTGGCTGACTTGGCTCCTTATCCAACCTTCCTGAGCCATGGTGAGCAACAACTGGGCTGATGAAGGATCCTCGAGGAGTCTATCTAACTCTTGCTCTGTGAATACCAAAGACAGGTCCTGGGAAGTCCCTAAACTCTTCACAGGCCCCATCCCACATCACAGTAAGCATACTAAAATATGGCAACCTCCGCATTAAATATACTTTTATTGCTGACATAAAATTTTGAAAAATATCTTTAGAGTTTGGCCTTGGAAATAGGTTGGCTACAAGTAACTTATAGTTGGCTATTCATTTATCAGCATGTATCTTTGCTTCCTTGGGAATTATTAAGTTCAATCCTAACTCCAGCCTACATATGGCTTTCAATTGAAATATTTTTGATTATCAAGTCAGCAATCAATGAAGTTAGCATAATATTTTGTTGGCCTTTGACATTTATTAATTCTGTTTCGTAGTTATCCTATTCTGAAGCCAACAAATGACTTTCGAGGTCTCAGACATATTTCTACAGGTCCTTGAAAAGCCAGAAGGCTCCAGGTACTGTACCTGAGTGGCCAGTGCTCTGCCTGAGAAGCCCTACATGCTGAGGTCTCCACTCTGCCTTCTTCAAGGAATGAGAGCTTTGAGGGATGTTTCTCTAGGAAAACACAACAAGCTGACATACAAATAACAGTAGTCTGCTAAAACAAGGTGAAACCCCTACAAAAAAACAAAAACAAAAAAAAACAGAGTAATTAGGGGCAGAATGCCTGGGGGCCAGCTATTAGTTGACTGGGTGACCTTGAACTAGCACTCTGTGGCCCTTTCCCTGCCCCCAGTAAGACAGACACTCCATCTGGCCAAGGTGGGAGACCAGGGCTCTCAGTTCTAGGAACTGAAACATGTGCAGAACCATCTGAACCTGAGACAGGGGTTTTCCTCCCAAGTTAAAAACAAAGCAGTTTTTAATGTCAATGTTATTTTGCCAGAATGAAAGGAGGAAGGTAAGAGAGAAGAGTGGAAGGACAGGAAAGGGGGGGCAGGAAAGAGAGGAAGGAAGACACTGTCAACATTTGCTTTTAAAAAGCTATTGATCTTTGATGTTTGCACAAAAGGACATCTCCCTTCCCTGGAAATAAAGGCTTTCACGGTGCTACTCAGTCTCATTATCCCATTCAGAAACCATCCATCATCTGTTTGCCCTCAGTGAGGAGCAAGTTGTGATGAAATGAAAAAGAACGAAGATTTCAGAATCAAATGGCCTGTCTAAAACCTTTACCATGCATGGGCCTTGCAGTTCTCAAAGTGTGGGACCCCTAGGGTTCTCTGAGAGCCTTTTTTGGGTACCTATGAGGCCCAAACTATCTTCCTAACAATAGTAAGGTGTCACTAGTCTTTTTCACTCTCTTTCCATAAGTGTACTTTTTCCAGAGGCTACGTGACGTATTATCACAACAGACTGGATGGATATACAGATATCAAAATCCAACTATCTTCTTATTTAAAGATTTATGTATTTATGTATGAATTTATTTGTTTATAGAGAAAGAGAGAGTAGGGGGAGGGGTAAAGGCAGAGGGAGAGAGAGAATCTCAAGCAGACTTCCTACTGAGCATGGAGCCCAACACAGGGCTCGATCTCAGGACCCAGAGATCACGACCTGAGCCGAAATCAAGTGTTAGATGCTAAACCGACGGAGCCACCCAGGTGTCCCTCAAAATCCAACTATCTTCTATTAAGCCAAACAGTAAAGAAGAGTTTCAAAGATATAAAAACAAGCCCATTTTTATCTCTTTTTGTTGTTCTGGAAAATATGATTACTCTTAGTTTTTTAGATATCATTTATGTTAACATTTAATAATGGAGGTGGTTTTTTTTTTTAAGTTTTATTAATCTAAGAAATCTCTCTACCCATCATGGGGTTTGAACTCATAACTGTGAAAATTAAGAGTCATATGTCCTCCATCTGAGCTGGCCCAGGTGCCCCTGGAGTTATTTTTGTTCTGTTTTGTTTTGAAAATTTTATTTTTAAGTAATCACTCACCCAACATGGGCCTCAAACTCAACAATCCTGAGATCAAGAATCAGATACTCTACTGAATGAACCAGCCAGGTACCCCAGGAGTAGTATTATTTTTTTAAAGATTTTATTTATTTATTCATACAGAGGCACAGGCAGAGGGAGAAGCAGGCTCCATGCAAGGAGCCCAATGTAAGACTCAATCCCAGGATACCAGGATCATGCCCTGAGCCAAAGGCAGACACCCAACCACTGAGCCACCCAGGTGCCCCAGTATTTTTTTTTTAATGAATTGGTTAATGCATATTTTTTAAATCCTCAGTCTTAATGTCTGCGATGGCAAATAATGATAAACCATACCCAAACAAGTTTTTTGGGTTCCAAGTGTTCCAAGACCAAAAAGTTTGAGAACCCCAGAGCTAGCTAACATAGTTACCATTTATTTAATGTTTCCTCGTGCCAGGGACTGTGCAAACATGCTGCATTTTTCATCTCTTTTAATCTCTCTTTTAAAATTTGCAACAAAGCTGTAAAGTAGAGGCTTTACCAAAAAAAGCATCTTGCTAGTCCAAGGTCTCACAGCTGGAAATGAAAGAGATAACTGGGCACTTCTGACTCCACAGCCACAGTCTTGATTACTGGATAGTATTCCCTCACAAAGTAATTCTTTGAAAAAGTTATCTCACTGCTCTGAGTCGGTTCCCTTATCAAAAATGGGGAGAATCGGGAATCCCTGGGTGGCTCAGTGGTTTAGTGTCTGCGTTCGGCCCAGGGTGTGATCCCAGAGTCCTGGGATTGAGTCCCACATCGGGCTCCCTGCATGGAGCTGCTTCTCCTTCTGCCTGTGTCTCTGCCTCTCTCTCTCTCTCTCTCTGTGACTCTCATGAATAAATAAATAAAATCTTTAAAATTAAAAAAAAAAAAGGGCAGAATCCATCCTACCCTGCAGGATTCTCTTAAGAGAAGAGTTAATATGCATTTAACTGCCTAGCAAGGTTGTCTACCACTTGTCTGTTGGAGACCCCAAGAAAGCAGTAACCTCCTTCCTTCCATTCCTTCCTTCCATTCCCTGCTGTCCTTGTCACAATGTTAGACCAACGAGGCTCAGCGGTTTCCCTTCTTCCCTCTAGATGGTCTTCAAGCCGACAGAGAGCCTGATGGGACAGAAGGAGTTGATGAAGACATGATTGTGACCCAAAGTCAGACCAATTTCATCTGCCCCATTACTCAGGTACTGTCGCCTTCCTCCTTTCCAGAAAGACCAAGCAATCCGCTTTATAGAGGCAAAAGACTCCTGTTTGCTTTCTAACTTGATTCCCCATCTAGGGTAAGGAGGCAGGAAAGGAAAGTGATGAGGTCCAGGAGGATATGGGGGAGGTTCCCGGGCTGGCAAGACTGAAGTCCACCATGCCCCATGGGAGGGGTGGGGTGCGGTGGGATGGGGGGTGTCAAGCAATTCCTGGCTCACAGGCCAGCTGACATGGGTGCCCACCTGCATTTGCCTCTGTGGCCGTCTGCCCCCACAATGATCTAAAGCCACGAGACTGCGAGGTTGAACACAGGAAGCCCCCAGATGAGGAAAAAAACAGTTCCAAATAATTGGTGACTTGGAGAAGTTACTGGAAGTGGATCATTATCATTCCTGAAAGCTGAATGTCTCCTTGATTGCAGGTGGAAATGAAGAAGCCGGTGAAAAATAAAGTGTGTGGCCACACCTATGAGGAGGAAGCCATTGTACGCATGATTGAGTCCAAGCACAGGCGGAAGAAAAAGGCCTGGTGAGTTGGCGCCGGAAGGGAAGTGAGCCTTTCCAGTGGTGGTCATGCCAGAGGAAAAGACACCTCCATGGCCCCCCTAAAGCCCATTCACCTCCCTCAGTGTAAACACGGAAGCTGGCTTTCTGGAAAAACAATCCACCACGGGAAGATGAGTAGTCTGCTCAGGAAGAAGCTGAAGCCACTTGAGCCACACCTTCGAAACAGGAGAAAAAGGAATTGGGTGGAAGTTGCATCATTGAATAATAGGAATGTTCATGAAATTGCACGATAGCCTGAAAAAAGAATTAGGGAAAACTGTGATACTAAAAGATTTCTTTTTTCCCTTCTGTATCTACTTACACAAGAAGGAATGGCTTTTTTTTTTTTTTTTTTTTTTTTTTTTTTGCCATCCTGCATTACAGGTAATTTGTTTAAAACATTCTGAGATAAGATTTGTATTCAGAGGTCTTGATCAAGATTGAATGGTCAGGGTAAACCTTGCATCTCTTTAATTATTTAAACAACTTTCCCAAAGGGTCAAGTAAATGTGTGCATTACTTCAATGAGAAATTTTTTTTTTCCATTGGAATGTTTGGAGAATCTTCCTTTTACGTATATTTTCTATTTATTTCCACCTCCTTCACACACACACACCCCAACTCGCACATTCCCACTCCCAAAGCCACACAACTTTGGAGGACCGTGGCTCTGTTCCTGTGATAATGTGGAATCCTTGGGTTGGCTAGACTCAATATAATTCAGTTTGGCATTTCTTGTGCTCTTATCGCACATTTGTCGTAGGAATGGAATTGCAGGTGTGACCAGTTCTCAATGGACTTCTGATAACAGCCACTTTGATGTGTGGCTCACTTCTCCATCCCCCAGAAATTTGCTGGTCCAGACCCAGAATTGGAATTCCCCACCACTCCTCCTGTGGGCGTGGACTTGGAGATAGGGCATTGGAGGCAGTAGATATCTTGATGGTCATTCAGTCAAGTCATTTACCCTACTTATTCCAAAAGAATGCCCTCGTGGTCGCAGAATTAAGAGTGTTCGAGTACATTTTTTTCTGTTTTGAGTCCCAGCTCACAGTTGAGATGTTGTATTTCCCTGGTGAACCTTCCATTTTCCCTGTGGATATAATTTCCTTTGTTTCTGGACTTCTAAGCCTTTCCTTTTCTCCTTTTTTTCCTGTGCTCTTTCTCTGAAAAACCACCTTTTTATTTGTGAAAAGGGATAATAGCTAAGAATAGATATTCCCTGATAGTTCTGTTTCACAGCTCTTACTTTTCTTAAAGTTTGCCATAGTCTCCCAGAGTCAGATTTGGAAAAAGCAGGCACTGATAACAAAGCACATTTCTCACCAGTTCCAGGATGGCGATAGTGACTCCAAGAACAGGGTCGCATGTAAGTGGATCTTCTTAGTTACATATTTGACTTTCTAGGTGTCCTGTGGCTTTTTTGAATTGTACGTGCTATTTGGAAGCACACACATAACATTTGTCATTTAGAAAAATTTCTTTTTTCTGTCTCATTTCTATTACATGAGCGCAGATTCTGCAAACTGCAAATTTTCATAGGTTGATAACAATTAAGTCCAAGTGGATGAAGTATGGGAGGTTCGCAGAGAAGGTAGTGTTTTTCCTGCACCTTGAAAAAAATGAGAAGAATTTCAGAGAATGATGAAGAGTCCTTTTAGCCGACAGGCTTGCCCCATTCAGAGCCTGTTCTGCTTGGTGGTCAGAGGTCAGTAACAGTTGGGGTTACTGTGTGTTAGCAGGAGAATAGAAGGATGCTGTAGACAATAACAGTAAGGAGAGTGGCGTAAAGATTCATTATAGAGATGTTAAATGTCATGATTTCATTAGTTTCCTCATCTATAAGTTGATGATAATGATTGTCATTGCCTCCCTGGTATGTTTGAAATTTGATTAAGATGTATGTGAAATACTTTCAAGTCCCTGGCACGTGGTAAAACTCGGTAAACGGTACCCCCACCACCACCACCCTCATTTTTGCCACCATTATTCTATAGGCATGAGACAACATTGCAGGGTTTTGAGGGAATAAGGTGAGTCCAACTGGAGGTTAGGAAGTTACTCCAATACAATTCAAGAGATGGATTAATAAGGCATGAGGTGACGATGTCAGTGAGGAAGGGTTTGCAGGAGATTAAGTTATAGATGATGGGAGCCTGACTGAGGCAAGAGTCATAGGCAGAAGGGAAGAATGACGGCCCTTGTGGAGGCACAGCTGGCAGGGTTTGGCAACTGAGGGCTGAAGGGAGGAAGAAGGAGTGGAGGATGACTAGCACTTGTAAACCGAATGTCCAAAAGGGTAGCAGGATTGTTAGCCAACAGAGAGGGCAGGAGCAACAAACACGTGTAGGGAGGATGCTGAGAGGCACAGCTGGGCTCATGCTAAGCGTGGGGTCCTAGCAACACAGCCATTTGGAAGTATCCAGGAGACGCAGGAAATGTGGGGTGTCAAACCCGACAGAGAGCTATGAGCTCAAGATGTCATGGAGAGGTTATTGGTAGAGGAGTCAGATGTACTCACCTGCCCCCACAGGGGCAGCTCTGGACAGCAGGTGGCAGCTAGTCTGAGAGCCACCAAGGACGGGACTGCGGTCTGGCCCCCGCCTCAGGGCCCCACGTGGACCCCCAGAAAGACATTCCACTCATTAAAGAGAAGGCACTCAGAGGAAGAAGACCCCAACGAAGCCATCTGAGGTGTAGCCCAGCAAGACAGGAAGAAAGAAAGGGGAGTTGCGGATCACAGGAGCATTGGGGGTGGTGGGCACAGCCCTGAAGCCAGGCCACATTTGGCAGCGGGTTACATACCTCAGGCCTCTTCATCAGCTACGCCGGAGCTTCCTGACTGAGCAGCAAGTAGTGTCATTCCCCATGATGCATGTGCACTCGATGAGCAGTTCTGGGTCCCCTTTGTTTAAACACGCCTGTGACACATCCAGTTTGAGAACTCTCAGTTCTTCTTCCTAGATGGTTCTAGTTACGTTTTGTCAGACGGGAGCTCCAGGTACATTGTATTACTCGGTGCTGACTGGATCTTCCTGTCTGTGCTGCGGTCTCCGCGAAGATCTCTCTCCCGTGGATTGAGTCAGGATAAAACTGTGGAGACTTCAGCCCTCACCAGATACAGCAGTTAAAACAACGTCCCGGATAGTTGGGCTGTGCGCTTTCTCCCTAACAGAGCCGCCTTATGGCCGCCATATTAATAAGGCATCTCCAGTGTCCCACGGCCATGCCGTTCCTTTTTTGCTGAGGAATGGGAACCGTGTTTAACAAACAGTCCTATTGAACGGCCTGGGAAGGAAAATGAAGTCAAGTAGGAGTGTGTCATTGAAGAGGGAGCACCAGCACTGTGCCCACAGCCCCCATTTCACTCTTGGCCAACTGGCCATCTAGCCTCTCAGAGCCTCCATGGCTTCACCGCGGAGTAGAAATAACAGCAGCATCTCACGGGACCTTAGGACTAAAGACACAGGGAAATTCCAACTGAGGCCCAGACCAGCACATTTCTTGGCAGTGGAGAAGCAAACCACTTAAGAGGAAAGCTCCTTTGGAACTCCAGAACGCTAAACAAATCCCAGCAGGGTCAGAAAGGTCAGGACTGTCCGTGTTGTTATTACTTACCTCACCGCTTCGTGACACGTTATTTTAGACTCAGAGGAGGGAGGACAGAGTTACTCAGCGTGTTTAGGTACGATGGCGATCCAGCCCACTCAGACTTCCAGAGGTATCTACAGACCTCCTCCTAAAGCAGGATTGGACCTTGGAATTCTTGGGACCCAGATCCAGGAGCTCACAAGACTCAGAATCTTGTACTTTTGAGCTGCGCTGAGGCCAAGGTTCCCTGCAGCCTTGTGGGCCCCCTGAGACCCAGGCTGCCCTTGTTCAGCAGACACTGTCAACACTTGCTCGCTGCTCCGGTGGAAGGCTCTTCCCTACCAGTGACCTGAGTTGAGGACCCAGCCTCTCCTTCAAGGCCGGTGGGTCTGACTCCTGCACAGCAGTGACTTGAGAGCTTAGGATTGGGTATTGCCACACCTAACTTGCTCACCAGGATGTCCTGGGGATTAATGCACTAATGCTTATACAGAGCACTATTTCTCCGGAGGAGGAGTGCCCTGATTCAGTATCATGTCATCAGTGCCCTGTCTTATCCTTTGTAGCTTAAAAACCTGGGTTGGTTGGTTTGAGATCGGGTGAGAAGCAAGGTTCTCCCTTGGCTCCCGGAGCAACCTCTCCTCCAGGAAGTCTTCTGTAGCACCGTGTGCACCGTAGCATGCCCATGGCCCGCCAGCGTCATCGGTGGGGCTGCCTCCCCTCCACGGGGGCTTCTTGGGAGCAGAAACTGCACATTGTAGCACCTGAGCCAGCTCCTCGACCCGTCACACATTGTCCTACTTACTTCTCACAACGACCCTACGTTCTATGTCATCTTTACGGCAGAAGAGACTGGGGCACAGGAATTAAAGCCACTTGCCCAGAGGGTCACAGCCAAGGGGACTGAGCCCACGTCTCTTTCACTCTTGAGGCTGTATTTGTGTCAAGAGGCCATCAGCTCCCCTAAGGAGGAGTTTGTGGTTAAAGCCTCTGTCCCCAGATTTGATCCCTTAAGCAAGGCCAGACTTCTTTGTTCGACACCGACCACCCTGGGCTCCATCCCGCTGCCCCGTTGTGAGGCATGAGCCTGCAGGCTCAGCACCGAGTGTGGTTGACCCCATCAGACATCCTCAGAGCCCTCGCATGCCGACAGGGCCGCTGACATCACCAGGAAGTCCTCCCCACCACGGTCCCCACTTCCCCTTCCACGCTTATTCACTGTCTGGCTGTTGGTGCTGAAGACTGGGTCCTAGGGAGGGGGGAGCACTCCAGACTTGCCATCACAGTGCGTGCTCACCGAGTGACAAATACAAAGTGAAGGTGACCCCAGCATATGTCATCCCAGGAACCTACACTGCGTTGCATTTCCGTGTCACAGAAGTTGAAGAGATAAAAGATGCCCTTTCTAAAGTCACAAAAGTCTCCATTTCCTCCTCATAAGCTCATTTATTTATTTTCACAATTAAAGAAATGAATCCCTTGAGAAACCAGTGTGAGACATTTCTCGGGCACCTCCGGTCCTTACCCCAACACAAAGCCGAACCGTCAGAAGGATGCATGGTTGGACAGACCACCTGATCCTCCTTCCTGCGAGGGCCTTTTTAGAACCAGATTTTAACCCACATACCTGCCCATACAGGGCACATTTCAGCATTTTAAACGTGAATATTGTCAGCAAGCCTATTATCCATTACAGTGACAAATGCCCTCCTTTATAAAGATGCCTTGGTCCAGAAAGCACAGCGAAGAGGACGGTTCTCCCTCATGAAGAACGGTTGGGCTTCCTACCACTGGACAAATCAGAGTTCCCATGATCAACCTTCTTCCCCTTCTGGTTTCTATCTGTTGTCTTCTATTTGTTATTTTTGATCTTGTCTTATAGCTGTTGTTATTATTATTATATATATATTTTTTGGTCTTAATATACCTGTGCTGTTTGGAGAGTTTTCTCAGATCACTGGGCCGGAGCTCTGTGTGGGCAGGAATCTAAATTTGTATTTCACAGTTGGACGCTCAGAACCCAGCACAGGGCCAATCACACAGAAGGTCAAGTGCGTGCACAAGTGTGTGGATGGGTACATGGGGTAAATGCAAGATACAGACAGATGAGCAGCTTTAAAATGTATCAGAAGAGTGATGACCAGGGACGCTAGTCACAGGAGATAGGGAAGGGGACGCGATGCCTGTAGCCCTGGGAAATAAGGGTCCTGCCTCCACTTCAAACCCGAGGGGAGTAGGGGCTCGGGTCACCTCTGGTCTCACGAGTAGCCAAGAGGTGTTGGCCATATTCAGAACCAGGTCACCCTAACTCCAGACGCTGGGCACTGTACCCTACCCAAGTCTGTTTCACGCTGAGAAGAAATCAGGTGACTTCACCCAGCCCACTGCCTTCAGAGGAGACCACATCTAAACAGAGCCGTGGCTTTGAGTACCTCCCCCCCAACCCGTGGGTGACTCACGCTGATTTCTTCAGCCACAGCTTTCCCCTGAGTCTCCACCAGCCCACGCAGTCTCTCCACTGGGAGGACTGGTGGGCATTTCAGAGGGAACACAGACCAACCGGAGCCCTGACTCCATCCCTGGCATGACTTGGCTGGCTGTTCCCTGTGGAGATGAAGGGCAAACTCTGATGATGCTCCACTGTGCACCTGGCCCAGCAGCGCAACCTAGAGGTCCTGTTTCCGCCTCCCCGCTGAAGCCGACCACTGCCACCAGCCTCCCCCCTGCAGCCCTGTGCCCTGGACCTTGGGCCCTCCTGCCTTCCCTGCTTCCACTTTGCCTGCCTTCTGCATTCAGCAACCAGAGCTGGATTTCTTAAACAACAGAATCGCACCCCTCCCCTATCTCCAGCCCTCCAGGGTGTTCTCTTCATACTTAAAATCTGAGGCGGGGGTGGGGGGATGGGGGGGAAGGATGGGGGGACTGGCTGGATCAACAGTTGAGTATCTGCCTCCGGCTCAGGGCGGGATCCGGGGTCCTGGGATCGAGTCCTGCATCGGGCTCCCTGCATGGAGCCTGCTTCTCCCTCTGCCTGAGTCTCTGCCTCTCTCTCTCTCTATGTCTCTGATGAATAAATAAATAAATCTTTAGAAATAATAAATAAATAAATAAATAAATAAATAAATAAATAAATAAATACTTGCCTGTGAGGGAAGTTTATGCTGAAGGCATCAAAGCTAAGTGATCTTCTTATCGTTTACAGTTGCCCCAAAATTGGCTGTAGCCACACCGATGTGAGAATGTCTGATCTCATCCAGGATGAAGCACTTAGAAGGGCCTTTGAGAACCACAACAAGAAGAAAAATCGCCACTCCGAGTAGGAAAAACGCACCTACCTACAGGGATGTCCGCAGCCTACCTCCTACCCCAGCCATCTGGAGAAAGCAGTGCTCATCCAAGCACTTCGACTGGCTGCATAGCATACTTTGTTGGGGTAACACTTGAAGGTTTTAAGTGTAATTGGAAGCATTTTTCTATGTCACAACAAAAATCCAAGCATATTATATTGTTTATTTTTGAGTGTTCTATAATTTTAAATAAAATTTTGATTATCTGCAGTGGCTCCTATCTCTGCACCTCCCAGGGTGTAAATTGTTCCAGTGGTGCGAGCATAGTGGTGGTGCCAGGACTTTCTATTTCTAATATTTCGGGCTGTTTTTTATTATAGTTTTAACTGAACAATGTCTTTCAAAGGATATTGAACGGGGAAACTGTAGAAACCCCCCAGCTGCAAGCATTTTCTTCATAAATTATAGCATAGGGTAATAAAGCAGAGCCAGTTTACTTACCTATATTTGCTTTGTGTATTGACAGTTCCAAATATGTAAATGGTTTTATTTGTCATTCTGACTGACCGGCACAGAATGCTCCAGTTAACAGGCTTATCAGTGCAATGATAGTTGGTGCCCATAATGGAAACTTCACGACAGCCCTCTGAGAGCCTAAAGTGTCATCAGAAGCAACCACATCCTGGCGGTCTCTGTCTTGCTCCGTGGCTCTCTGCAAGTGGCTTCATGCTCCTGGGCCTTGGAGTCTTCAACCGTGAAATAAAGATGTTGAGCAAGATATTCTCTAATGTCTTTTCAACCCCAAAAGTCTGTGGACTTAGGACCAGCCAGGTCTTTAAATTGAATATCTTTGAATATATTCTAATTGAGTGAAGAGTGCTAATCTATTAAATAATCTCCGATAGCAACCTTTTACCAACTTTTTTTTTTAAGATTTTATTCATGATAGACACAGAGAGAGAGAGAGAGAGAGAGGCGGGGGGGGGGGCAGAGACACAGGCAGAGGGAGAAGCAGGCTCCTTGCAGGAAGCCTGATGTGGGACTCGATCCCGGGTCTCTAGGATCACGCCCTGGGCCAAAGGCAGGCGCTAAACCACTGAGCCACCCAGGGATCCCCCCAACTATTTAATTAAACCTGACAAAGCATACCCTGACTACACTAGGAAGCCAAGGAGAACTAACAATAGCTAACATTTATTGAGCACTTATTGTGTACCAGGTGCTATTCCACACGCTTTACATATATATGTTGACTCCCATAATCCTAACTTCCTGATGAGAAAGGTGCAATTGTTATTCCCTCTTTACAGATGAGTAAAATGAGGCACAGAGGGGCAAAATAACACATGGAAAGCCACAGAGCTCGTAAATGGCTGAGCTGGGACAGGACCTCAGGTAGCCTAGTCTCAATCTGAATTCTTAATCCTGTACTCTCCTCCTCCCTATTGTTTAGATCTAAAAATATACTCAAAGTGCACATTTTAAAAATGAAACTTCTCTAAATAAACAAAAGAAGTTCATTAAAATGCTGGAAACAAATGAAGTTGACAACTACTAGGGAGAGAAGGCCATGAAATAATATATATTTGAGTTTTTAAAAAGCAGAGTCGAGGGCAGCCTGGGTGGCTCAGCGGTTTAGTGCCGCCTTCAGCCCAGGGCATGATCCTGGAGTCCTGGGATTGAGTCCCACGTCAGCCTTCCTGCATGGAGCCTGCTTCTCCCTCTGCTGGTGTCTCTACCTCTCTCTCTGTGTCTCTCAGGAGTGAATGAATAAATAAATTAAATATAAATAAATAAATAAATAAAAGCAGCAGAGTCTAAGAGGTGCCTGGGTGACTCAGTCAGTCCAGCAACCAGCTCAGGTCATGATCTCAGGCTCCTGGGATCGACCCCTGTGTCAGGCTCTGCTTCTCCCTGTCTCTACCCTTCCTTTCCTACTGTGTGTGCTCTCTCTCTCTTTCTCAACTAAATAAATCTTAAAAAAAAAAAAAAAAAAGAAAGAGAAGAAAAGCATAGTCTAAAATGGCAGAGTTCATTTTGAAAACATTTTCTTGGAACTCAGAAAGTAGGGTGACATTCATTTGTCTACAAACTAAGTCAATTTGAATTTCTTAAGATGCTTCATCTGAATCAGACTTCCTGAGGAAATGATTATGTTTAAGCCAGAACAAACATAACTTTTCATGGAATGTGGTCCTTTTGTGAAATACTTTGTTTCCTAAACAGATAGCGAGGAACATGAAATACTTACCCAAGATTTGATTTGTGTTTCCCCCCACTCTTTCTAAAGAGAATTCCGGATTATTGGTGTAGACACCAGTATCAGCTAGAAAAAGGCAAAATAACACCATTCCGCTGTGGAAATGGTACAGCCTTTGTATCCTGTAGGGTTTTCTTCCTTTAGTTTTCAGAAGCTGTGGTTCATGACTTTGTCTAGCCAATTAAAGATGTGGAAGTTTTATATAGAATTTATTTTCATTGAAAACTTACCTTTTGGTTGTCATTATCAGTCTGGCATATTTGTTAGATTTCTGTTACAGGAGCTTCCCCAAAAAGTGAAGCCTTTTCTTCAAATGAAGTTTGTTTGTTGAAAGGGGGGCAGCTCGAGTCAGAGAGGAATTTCCACCCCCTTCTGCCCAGGGCAGTCCCAGAGTCCTGAGATTACGCAAGACCCCACAAGTGACAGTTGAAAAACCCTACTAGACTCTGTAACTAAATCAATTTTTTTCCCAGATAGGATTGATTTAAGACTTGGAAATCGTACCCACAAGGCACTTTTTTAAAAATGCTATTTCCTTTAAAAGAGCCTTCCATTAAGTTTAAGATACTCCCACAAACTCCAAAAGATAAGATAATTTATCTGTTGCCTTATATAGAACTTCAAACCTGGAGGGTCTAGCTTAAAGCAGCTCCTGTAGCCAGTTCCACTCCCCGCTGAACACTCCCCTCCTGAGCTGGAGGGTTTTTGGTTTTTGTTTTTGTTTTAAAGGTTTTCTTTCTTTATTCATGAGAGACACAGAGAGAGAGGAAGAGACACAGGCAGAGGGAGCCCAATATGGAACTCGATCCCAGGACCCCGGGGATCATGCCTTGAGCTGAGCTGAAGGCAGATGCTCATCCACTGAGCCATCCAGGCACCCCCCACCCCCCCTCACCCCCCACCCCCACCCCCACCACCCCCCTCACTTCCCCACCCCCCCACCCTCCCCCGGGCTGAAGCTTTATATGAGCACAGAAAACAATCGCAGAATGGGCAGGCTCCAAACCCTCTATGAACTGGTCTGGCTACACAGTAGGCTCGCATCTAAGTGACTCAAATGTACCCGCTAAGTTAATCCTCCCTACAACCCTAGGAGGCAGTTATCACTGCCCCCATTTTACAGATGGGGACACCAAGGCCGAGTCATGAAGTCGTTTGCCCGGGGTCACTGGCTTGTGGGTAGTAGAGCCCATGTTGGAACAGAACAGTGAGGGGCACCTGGGGGGCTCTGTGGATGAGCACCTGCCTCCAGCTCAGGGCGTGACCCCGGGGTCCCGGGATCCAGTCCTGCATTGGGCTCCCCGCAGGGAGCCTGCTTCTCCCTCTGCCTGCGTCTCTGCCTCTCTCTGCATCTTTCATGAATAAATAAATAAAATGTAAAAAAGAAAAAGGGGGAACAGAATAGTGAGTGCAGAGGCAGCCCTCGGACCATGAGCCTCGGGCCCCGGGCGGCAGAGAGCACAGAAACCATCAGACCTGCACTTCTCTCCTGTCTTCCTATTCCCATTACTGAGACCAGTGTTTCCGGCTCGCAGGCTCCCATCCTGCCTTCCCCAGGCCCCCCTGCAAACACCTGCCAAGTCTGGGCCCTCCCTCCCTGTTCCCTGACCTCCCATCTCCCCCCCTTGCCATATTCACCTACTGGAAAACCAATGGGGTCTTCTCACATCCTCCCCAAAAATGTTCCTGTTCTCAGGAATGAGGCTCAGGCCTGGCACTCAGGATCCTGCCACAGACCAGCTCCACTCCCCTTGCCGCCAGATGCCCGGGTGTCCCCAGTGCTCAGGTCCTCCTCCCTGGCAGGGTTTCCTCCAGTACAGGCTCACCCTAGTACTCCTGGCTGGCACACACAGGCCACCTTGGGTGAGTCACTCTGTCCTGCTGGGCCTCAGAGTTTGGGGTGCACTGAAAGATTGGGACTTCTCCCCAAGGGTTCTGCAAACTCTAAGACTCTGCATCATATGTTCAATGACTAGGTCCTAAGGGAAGGAAAACAGGCTGACATGGAAAGTAGTATATATTTGAACCAAATGTGTCCATTGCCTCTTCAACTATCCAACACTTTAAGGCCCCCTTGATGCCATGTCCTGTGTTACTCTCTGTATATACAAAAGTCTCCCCTCCAGGGGGCTTACGGTCTCCTTGGGGCAGACAGATATTTGAAAAACAAATTCCATAAAAGGTTATGCAAGTGCCACATATAGGGGACAGTGGCACAAAGCGAGGAAATACAGGAAAATTCTTGAGTAACCCAAAACGGTGTTTTAGGAAATCGGGTAACGAGATTCAAAACAAGTCCGTGAAACATGATTGGGAGAATAGGGAGTGAGTCATGAGGGTTTTATTGGAAATCCATGACGGGGGATCTGCCGACCAGCTCATGTCAGACTCGGGGGGACGGACCAGCCTCTGACAAGGGGGCCGTTAACACAGAGCCCAGGAGCCCTCACACCACGCTTAGGGAAATGCAAACCGGTGCAGCTGCTCTGAAAAGTGACTTTTTAAAAAAAGTGTTGAACATAAACTCACTGCACAACCCAGCAAATCTACTCCTAGGTATCTACCCAAGAGAAGTCAAAACATGTTTACGCAAAGACTTGTGTATGAGCGTTCATAAGCAGCATTACTTTTAATAGCAAAAATGTGGAAGCAATCCAAAGGTCCAGCTGGTGAAGGGAGAAACAAGACTGGGACTTGGTACAGTGGGATACCACCTGGCGATCAGAAGGGACGAGATACTTAGGAACTCGTGCTGTGACGCGGCTGGACATGATGCCAGGTGAAAAAAAGCCAGTCAAAGAGCATATTGTGTCTGAATTAATTTCATTCTATGAGATGTCCCAGAAGAAACCAATCCATAGGGGCAGAAAGTGGTGGCCTGGGCCTGGGGGTGGAAACGGGGAGTAATTTGCACAAGGGATCACTTTGGGGTGAAGGATGTGTTCTAAGACTGGATCGCAGGGGCGCCTGGGCAGCTCAGTCTGTTAAGCATCTGCCTTGAGCTCAAGTC